AACTCATAGTCCCGGCATTTTATCCTACGAAAACGGTGATTATAGTGGCTTTTGGGGTGGAGAAATAGGATAGGCAGTGGAAGAAGTTTGTAGAAGTAAGTGTTTAGTAAAAACGTGTTTTCGAATTTGTGTACCACGGCCGCTGGGAGTAAGTTTTTCAACATTTAAGCTGAAGGTGTGTGTGGCCCTTCGCGCAGCGAAAAATACTAATATTACTCTAAAACGGTACATTGGACCTCAGGTATATTGAAATGGACGACTTCCTAACGACAATTTCTATTTTTATCAAAAAATTCAAGGAACCTGCATTTTGATAATCGGATTTTTCCGCGATATGTTTAACAATAATCTACAGCTATAAATCAACAGCTTTTTTAAATACACTGAAATAAAAATGCACATAGCAGTTATTAATGTGTAATTCACTGTTTATCCTAATTCCCCACCATAAAACTCCTAAAACCACCGTTTCCCTATGAATAAATACTGGAATTGGGGTTGTTTTAGGTGCACTACGAATATTACTGTTATCGTAAGAAGCATGAGATGGTAACGTATTTACTTTTTAATTACAAAAAACGCGACGTGGGAAAGGTCACTATTTTGTAAGTGGTGCTTTTGACTTCACGCATACTTCAAGTTAGACCGCATATTTTTTGTTTAAAATTGCAAGTTCCAAAAACCTGTCATAAGCGATTGCATAACCGGTTACCAAGCCGTTCAACCACACAACTGATATAGACGTGATCATGAAACCTGGTAGAGTGCTCATGTACAGAGTATGTATCACGTTCATTTTGCGGCTGTTTTCCGTTTGAGGCTCACGGGAGTCTTTTTTAAGTGAAAATATTTCTTGTCTACTATGGCCCCTGTGTTTTCAAGATCCAGTTTATTAAATACCAATGTTTAAATGTGGTCCATCGGGGTGAAATCCTGAGGGTCGTACAAAACAATGTAACCGTTAACTTCAAAATCAAACGCTACTTAGGAAAAATATGTAATAGGAGTACTTTGGAAACACAAAAGGGATACCCACCTTCTCCCACTCGCTGACATACCGCAGAAGTCGAGAAAGCCGTAGAAGACGCAAAAGGCTAAGGAGTTTGGCAACCCGCAAAATCTTTAATGCCTGACCTGAAAGAGAAAGAAAATAAATAAGTAATGTCAATGAAGTTGCGCCTTAATCGTCGTTTATGTCGCTTAAAAGGGGAAAAGTTCAATGGAGCGTTTTAAAGTAAACTGAAATAGTTTTGAGAAGTAGTGTCTCACAGGTACTGGAAGAATACCAATAATAACCGCTGCGCGGTTTTTCCTCGGATCGTTAAATACTATGAATCGGTATTTAGATTTGCGATACTGCCTGATAAAAATTACAAGGCCTAACCTCAGAATTCAGATTTATCCGTTGATTTATAAAAGTTAGGCTGATAACATTGCATATCTACGCATGTAGCGTGGAAAGATGATTAAGTACACGAAGATCAAAAGCAAGTTCATGCACGGAATTACAAGCAGAGGTAGAATTAGCGAAACGTTAAGCAGGGGAAGTGACAACTCCCAAACGTTCGCATTCCCGGTGTTCGCGTGCGTAAACGAGAGGGTATATCAATCACCAGAGCAATTGGTTTATTTTTCTGGGCCTTTGCACTCTTTGGAGAGTCCATCTTCAGAGATACGAAACAGCATAAAAGGAGGTAATTTTAGTGAGTATTCGCCAATCAACTGTCAGTAACCGACGTCTGGATGCGCCTGCACCTAAAAGCGCGCGGCTCCGTACGCCGGCGGCAATTCTGTACATTGATTGATTGGGTGAGAAAAATAAAGCCAATGAACAATCTGAGGTAGTCTGTCTCATATCATGCCTCAGGTGTCCTTGTAACTACGTAGGCCAAACTGAATGCATGCCCGGATCGTGCACACATCAACAGAAGTTTGCTGTCTGACAAAGCGACGGCCACAACTTCAACGCCGCAGCCGTCCACATATTCGCCCACGCCGGAAGCAAGACGAGGCGAGATTTGATTGAAGCCTGGTCAACAGACCGAAACTCTACCGACTGATGTATCGAATTGGCGCCGGCATACTGATCACTGCGCAGCCAAGTGCAGTCACTTCCTTATATCGGCCACTGGCGATTAATTAGCGCACACCCTCTACAATTTCCCCCTATTTCGTTGCTGTTTCTGTCCTTTGACGATTCCTGATGTCAGTGACAGTTGATTTTTATCATTTCTGAAAATGGATACTTTTAGGTGTACAAAAGGCCAGCTTCTACTTGAGTTTTCTGCTGAGATCTTTGATTAAGAATGCGCGGCGGATGTTGAAACGTCAAGCAAACATAAGTGTTGTCCCAGCATTCGCATTTGCTTCTTATTCTTCGTATTTTTCGTTTTTTTCTCAATAAATCAATTGCTAAGGTTTTTGACAAGACTTCTTCCTTATACATGAAATGCCAACGGCAGGGCCTTGTTAATTTGATAAACAGCACTTCATTTTCTGAGAACACTTGAAAGTGACGACGTGCCTTAAAACTGTTTGGTGGGTTTGATAATCGGTAGCCAAAATGAAGACGTTTTAGACATATTGGCGGCTTCAAAGCTTTTATCAACTTGAGTAGCAAATTACCTGTTAAGAGACGTATAAACAACGCAAAGTCCACTGCATCAACACAACGTGGGCAAACTCATTTTGAAGCACTGAAGCAATCCGAGGAATATGAGGCATCTTACTCAGTATGCAAAAAAAGACATTCTGCCCTGTCGTTCCGAAATAAACTGCCAAGGTTCATTTACTGACAGAAAAGAAGAAAACTATAAAAGCTCTTTCTGTCTCATTTGTTTTCGCAAGTCAACAAAAAACTAAGCACAGTCTGGTGGGCGCTAAGGTCTAGTAAATCTTTCCCATATCCAAGCCGAAGGCCAGTTGGCGACGGCAAAACCTGCGCAAAGTCGTATTTATCAAAACCTGCAAAAAAATTATCCTCAGTTTTGTAGCAAGCAAACCAGGGAAAACATCGAACCCACTGAGTAGTCGAGTAGCATACCTGCGTGAGCAATTTGTTCAGTGCCTTCGCCGAAGGCCAACAGGAGATAGTCTAGTGGTAGCGAACTGACAAAGTCGAGGAAAAACCATTTGCGTAGGTACTCTTTTGCAATCAGTTTTGCATCTAGAACGATGTCATCTGCCATGCTTTCTCGTATAAAACCTGCAAAAATAAAGCAAAAATGAATACTACAGTATAGCGAGTGCTGTATGCAATAGTCATGACAAAAATTCACATAGTAGTTTAGCATATATTTAGTCACGTAATTGTTAGCCCCTGAGTATGTATCCTCTGTGAATGCTTTTTATTTCGGAAAATCACCCTTTTACAGTACGCGCAAGAATTCGTGCAACATGCCAACATATGCGAAATATTGATACAGTTTAGGTAATAGGAATAAAGTGAGGTTGTGATACAGATTATTGTGTAGTTTTTTTTTGAAGTTATTTCAGTCATGCTACGACGCGGGCTTCTTAACGAGCTTGGTTCGGACCACTAGCAAGACGTTTGTTCTGTACAAAGTAACTATTTAAATGGTGTGCTTTTTTCTCGTTTATTTTGACGGGCTTTAAATAAATCCAAATAAATATTATGGAAAACACAGACGAAAGATTATTTCTTGTACTCGTTTGGTAGCTAACTACACCTTCTGAAAAGATCATACTTAAACAAAGGGTATCTTTCTGATTTAAACATAGTTTGTAATTATGAGTTTTTTTACGATTGTGAGATGTTCATTCATCGTATATCGTATACGTCAATTTAATAATGCTGCCCATACTGTATTAAGCATGCTCTGCACTTAATGCAACATTTTATCAGAAATATTTGATATTTTTCTCAAACTGGAGGCCAAAACGTACTTTTTCTTAAGCAGAATGTACACAGTGCGCAGTTTTTAATTCTTGAATTCGAGTGTAGCAGTCAGTAGGTTTCAAAATTAATCGGCAAATTAGAAACCTTTTTAAATTCGAAAGATATAATTTCTTAAGTATAAGGTATAAAAAATGGGTAATTTGCTAACAAACGAGTACAAAAAACCATCTTCAAGTTCTCTCCGGGAACAGCATGCCTCAAAGTTCTAAAACAGCACCTTCCCTTGGATACCATCAAGTCTTTGGAAAGACTTTTACAATTGCGATGCCGAATTACGAAAGAGAAGACACGAATTGAATTTCTACGGAATTGTCTATTAAACAAGGAATACCCTTTTGAGTTTTACAAAGCTCTTCGACGCGGAAAAGTACGCCCAACCTTCAAAAACCTTGACCGTCTCACACAATCTAAAATAGAGGATTCTATTCAGTTACTGGATCATAACAAATCTCTTCTGCATCAGACTAATCACATTCTTGACAAGATTGGTTTTTACTGCTGGTGCATATTCATCAAAACATACATATACCATACAAAGGAAGACTAGAGAGACTTGGCGTCGCAAACTTCTTAAGCCAATTTGCAATAAGCCTACCGATGAGATCTTCCCTTCAATCCCGGATGAATTCATCTTGAAACTTTCTGACTTCCAACTTAAAAGCTGCAAACAGAAGCCCTTTCTTTAGGACTTGATTTTTGTTTGCCGTACAAACGAATTAACCCTGTAGACGTTGAAGCGCAATTCGAAGATTTGTACGCTCAACTATCCGACCTTAAACCACGTTCTATTGATTATCAAGGATGGATGAAGGCAAAACTTGTGGACATTGCCCATCAATACCGGAGAGCTTCAAAAACACAACGTTCTCCTATAACCAAATACCACACAAATGCTCTTTCCGAGTTGAAATGTCAAAAGAAATAGTTATTTCCAAACCGGACAAAAAACATGGAGCAGATATCCTCAATCGCAAGGACTATACCAATAAAATGAAGGCCATCATAAATGATTCTAGCAAATTTCGGCCAGAATTGAAAGGTAAAGATGAAATAAGGCACTAGAAGATTCAGCCTGGAAGACTATCAAACTTTTGTTGGATAATAATTTGATTGACACCAAAACCGCTTCTTAGCTAAAACCCAGAGGTTCCCACATTCCACGACTCTACGGACTACCAAAAACCCATAAAAACGGTATTCCTCTACGACCCATTCTCTCAATGTCGAACTCACCCTTTCACAAACTAGCGCATTGTCTAGTTGAGGAATTAGAAATAATTCGCCAAAGATTCTCCAAATTTACTTTAAAATACAGTTTCCAGTTTATCGACGAGATCAGCCAGCTCAATTTACAAGACAAATG